TTTAGGAAAAGGCTCCATAAAATAAGGCCTAATACTTTTAAAAAGGGTGCTAATAAAGCTTAGTACTTATAGCTATATAAATAAAGGTATAAGTAAAATATACCTTTTTTTATTATATATAATAAATTTTTTTATAAAGGTTTTTTATATACCAGCAGGGGTTTTTAAAAGTATTTTATAAATTATATATATTTATTTATTTACAGGGCCTTAAAAAACCAAGGCCATAAAAAAGGGGGGTAGTTATAAGGCCTATTATATTATATATAGCCTTTTTATAAGACTTAAAAATATTTATAAATAGCTTTACTTATAAATAGCTAAGTTAGCCTTTAAGTACTAACTTAATATATACTAAAAATATTTAGCCTTTATAAGGCTAGAAATTTAAACCTTAGTATTAATCTTAATATTCCTATTTTTTTTAAAAAAATTACTATTTATAAACCTTTTTTTAGGTATATTACACCCTATCACACTATTCGCAAATCCCTAAGGCCAAGGACCTTATACATGGCTTTTAAGCTATTTTTTTTATTACACTAAAACAGCCATATACCATAAATAATTTTAAAAAAACTAGTAATAAAACTTAGTAGCATAAATAATTTAGTTATATTTAATTAAAAAACTGCCTATAGCTTTTTTATAAAAATATCTTGCTAACTAGGCACGTAGTTATAAATATAAAAACTAGCTTGTTAATTTATTTACTAATAATAAATTATATTAAAATAAATATATTAAAACCAGGGATGCCTTGCAAAATAGCAACTTTTATATTTAAATAAGTATTTAATATAATTTATAAATAATACCTTGCGCGGGTGTGTTATAACTAGCTTTATATTATTATAAAAAAAGTAAAAAATACTAGTAATAATAATTATTATAAGTAGTTAAACTTAAATAATAATATTATATAAAATAAAAAAAGAGTTAAATAAAAATTATTATATATTAATTTACTAGTATTATTTACTATAGCCTGTAAAGGCTTAAGCTCCATGGTTATAATAAATAAATTAGGTATTATAATTATATTAGGCACCTGTATATTATTAGGGTTTACTTATTAACTTTTATTTAAGGTAATTAGCTTACTAGCCAGCTTTTAATTTAAAATAAAATAATTAACTAGTTTATTTTTTAATAATTATATAAGGTTATAGTTATTTTTAACTATATTTTAATACCCTAAATAATTTACCTAGAGGTAATTTAGCTATTATTTAATTACCTAATATTATACTTTAAATTATAATAAAACTATAAGTATATTTCCTGGTTTATACTAAAATTAAATAGCTATAAAATTAATACCTTAAGTTTTTTAAGTAAAAGCAGGAGCTATTTATATACTTAATTAGTATTTTATAAAAAGTTAATAATATAGGCTTTATAAAAATACTAGTAACCTTAAATATAAAAAGCCTTAATAAATATATAAACTTTTGTTATTAGCATTTTTTAATCTGCGTTAATTTTAAAAGATAAAAAAATATTACTAAGATTTATTTTATTTTATATACTAAATTTAAAAATCTTCTTATTTTAATTAGCTAAAATATAACACTTGTAAATATTATCCCTTTTTTAAAGGTTTATATTAAACTATTATTTTTAATAATAATTATATATTTTTAACTAGTATATGTTAAGCTAGTAATAAAAATTATTTAAAAACTTTTAATTATAGTTTATAATAGCTAAATATATAAAATTAATTAAAAAAAATAAACATGGTAAGGGAGCATAGTCCAGGCCTATATATATAAAAAAGCTAAAGTTAATTTTAATAGTTTATAAAAATAAAGGTAATTTATTTTTAATAATAAATTAAAAGCTTATAATAATAAAGTTATTAATATTTAATTTAATATTATTTTTATTAATAATAATAGCTAGCTGTAGGTGCCTAGCCAGCAAGCAAGGTATAAATAATAATAAAAATATAGCTATTACAGGCGTGAAAGGGGGTATAAGGGTAATAAATATTATAAATAATAATAGGCATGTTAAAGGTAAATAAAAAAAATTAAGATTTATTAAAAGTAATTATATAAATTACTTAACTAGTTACTTAGTAAGCATGCTATTATTTTATATTTTTATAATACTATTTTATTTATTATAAGTTATTAAATAAGTATATATTATAATATTAATAATTTAGCTTTAGTTATAATAAACATGGTTATTATATATTTAAGTTAGTTTTACTAAAAGGGGGTATTAAATAAATAAATTAAAAAGGTTAGTAATTATAGTAAAGTGCTTTTTACTTTTTAAAAATTAAGTTAATAATAATAATATATAAATAAAGCCATGTAAATTTAAAATACTTATTAATTTTTATATTTATTATAAGTATTAATAGGCTTACAGCTCGCGGCATGCTAAAATTATATTATTAAAAGTTAATAATTATAGCTAGTATAATAAGTAATTAATATTATATTTAACTTTATAAATATAAGCTATATAGTATTTTAATATAAAAAATAAGGCTAGGAATATTAAATAATAATATTATAAAAATTAAATAATAAAAATAAGTTATATAATAATGCTTTTTTTTAATTAATTATAGTAAACTTAATATTATAATATTTAAATAGTAAAAAAAGGTTATATAATAATGCTTTTTTTAAATTAATTATAATAACCTTAAGTAATTTTACTATTTTATATATTTTTTAATAAAGCTCACGTAACTACAAGCCGGGACCTACAATTTATTATGCGCGGGCCTCTACTTTGTTCCGGCCACGCGCAATACCGTGCTTACTCACCTGCCGCCCAAACCCACCTGCCGCCCGCATTTCCCCATATAAACTTCTTATTTTTAATTTATTATAACTTAGCCAATTTAATAATAAAATAAATAAAAATTTAAATATAAGTTATTTAAGTACCTTTTTTAAAATTAGTTTTTTTATTTTTTAAAAATATTAGTTTAATACTATTTAAAAATACTTTAAAAAATTAGAATTTTATAAAAGAATAATAATAAGTATTATTATATAAAAACTAATTTAATTAATTAAAAAAATATATAACTTATTAACTAAAAAGCTAGATTATAATAATAAATAATTTATTTATAATATTTYTTATTTTAAATTAGCTTTTACCTAAAAATAAAAACTATTAATTATTTTTATTAAATTTTAAATAATATATTAATAATATATATTTTATTTTTTTATTATATTATATTTACATTTTTAAAGGCCTTATATTTATTTTAAATTATTAAAATATTAAGATTTATATATATTAAATATAAAAATAGCTATTTTTAAATTTTAAATTTTAAAAAATTTAAATAAAGTAAATTTAGAAATTATACTAGATAAATAATATAATATTAATAACTTAAGTTTATTATTACATAAAGATATATAATTATTTTCAAAATAATAAATTATATTTTTTAAAAATTAAAAAAATTTAATAAAAAACTAGCTTTTATTTTTATTTTATATAATAGATTTTTATTTATTTTAAGTTATATATATTATATTTTAATATAAAATCTAGTTAATATATTACTAAAATTATATTATTTTTAAAATAAAAAATAAAAATCTAAATACTACTGTAAATTTTTATTAATATTTTTAAAATTAAAATATTTATAAAAATTATTTTTTTTTTAAATTTTTTAAATTAATAATAATAATAAATAATAATCTTTTTTAAAATATAATAAATTTATATATTTAAAAATATAATTAACTATTTATTTTATTAATTTTTAGTTTTTATATATTATTATAGTTTATAATTCATAATTTTTATATAAAAAGTATTTTTATATAATACTTTTTAATTTTATATGTATTTTATATAAAAATATATATAAAACTATTTATAAAAATATAAATTTTTAATATATAAATTTTTTAAAATTTATATATTTACCTTTTATTATATATTATACTTTTTAATTATTTAAAATATATCTTAATTTTATTACTTTGTATTAAAGTAAATCCTTATTAATTTTTAATTTTAATAAAATTAAATTATACTTTAACCTTTATTTTATTTAAATTTTAAAAAATTATTAAAATATCTCTAAAACTGGGTGTTTTAAATATATTTAAATATATAGACTTGTTAATACTTTGTATGGAAAAAAGCGGGCGCCAGGTGGGTTTGGGCGGCAGATGAGTAAGCACGGTAATCTAACTCGCGTGATCTAAACCCACCAAGAACCCGGACGGCAAGCGCATCCGGGCGGGGGGCGGTTGAAGCCGCTTAACCGATGAAAAGGAGGCGGCGCAGTGTCGCTCAAAGCAGCCAAGTCTCTTAAATCAATAGTGGCAACGCTAGACGCAGCGTTCCACACAACCCTGGACCCTTGAGCAGACGGAAGATGGCCGGATCATCCAGATTGATGATCCGATTTGCGAATCAACCAACGCTAATTTGCGAGAGTCAGGAACGCAACAGCCCTAAGAGCCGCTAAATGGGGCTTTGAAGCGCCAACCCTGGTTGCCGAATGTTAGATCTCGAGCAAAATCTTCTTGTTCGACACACGTAGCTGACCGTCACACCTGGTCTGCATTCCGCTTCGAGCCGATAATGTACTGGTAGTGACAGGCTTGGAGAAAGCTGAAATGCGGACGTGGGACCTCGACCAACCACCGCATCAGAAGCAAACAGAACGAATCGTAGGCTGGTAGCAAAGCCGGTCCCTGCCAAGGCAGACTAAGATGCAAGTTCGCGCTCTCGGAGATTGCCACGGAGCCTTCTTGCCTCAATCAAGGATCCGTGCAAGCGAGGTCGACCGAAATATGAGTAAACGGCATGGGTTACCCGTTAGTCCCACCCAGCTCAAGGTTTACGCATAGTGTAAATAATAAGGCTCCTCCTCCCACCCATCTCCCGAGTGTAAGAACCTTGTCTGTCCTTCCTCCCTCGTCTTCCATCCTTTCTGAGCCTGTTTCAGCATCAATCCATCCGATCCCACGCAATAGCCCGCCATCATGAGCGTTCACGGCTTCAATGCGTCCGTCAGCGCTGGTTGGTACACCTTCTCCAACCTTGGACCCCTCACGACAACATACACCCCTGAGGCACGATGCACCGCCTCCAGCCAGATGTTTCTCGGATACCTCAACGACATGCCGACATACGGTGGCAATATCTACCCGGCGTGGAACGTCCAATGTACGACCGAGGTCAACTACTATGACGGCTGTGTCCCGACCAGCACCGAACCAGTAACGACAAAGCCACCGGCGTTTACTGGGAGCACAATAGAAGAATACGAGGAATACCAAGATGCCCAGATCGACTGGCGAGGATGGGAGGTGTACTACTCTCCCGGTCTGTACTGTCCCGCCGGCTGGACAACAATCGGGATGATCGGCCGCGACAAAGGCGATACGACGACGTCCTCGGGCATCTTGTCGCCGTTGGTCTCGACCACCCAGACTGAGAACCCTAAGACCTCGGGGTATTATGACTACGAAGACCCCGCGTCGGTGGTGAAGAGTGTTCTCAAGCCTCAGCAGACGATGGCGCTGTGCTGTCCCAGGTACGTACGCACGCGGACCCAGTGACACAACCCTAGCCCCAGCCTCAACCTAGTTTCTCCTCCTACATATCCAACAAGGCTAACCACACCTGTTACCCACCGCAGCGGCATGAAAGCCGACACCGCAGGCAACTGCTACTCCTTCGTCAAAGACTACACCCCCACGTCCGGGTGCATGCGATATACAGACTACGACTACGAGTACGGCTCGAGCACGGCAACGTGGACCAATCCGATTGAAGGCAGCACGATTACAACGGTCGTCCCAACCCCGACCGAGACAATCAGCACCGTCGAGGTTGATACGACACGCCTCGACCCCGATCAGGACTACTATACGGGCATGTTCTTTGTGCCGGTTGTTACGCTGTTGTATCATGAGGATGACTTGGCTGGAGCCACTGGGACGGCGGAGGCGAATGAGAGTATGGGATCGAGTGAGGAGGGTGAAAGTGACAGTGCAAGTGAGACTCCGTCGAATGCTGCTGGGCGTCTGGGGGTAGGTGCCAGTCTTGCCGGTTGGGAGGGCTTCGGGTCTGTCGTTGGGGTTTGGCTTGCTGCTGCGGGGGTGGGCGCGGCCATGGTTCTTCCATGGTAAAGCATCTCATATCTTGCGAAGTGTTTTGGACTCAATAAGCATAATCATATCCTGTATTATCCCTTCCATGGTTTTTGATGTTTTGCACTGAATGGATTGAAGAGATCACTAGCAAAGCTTGCCGCGGAGATCCAGGGGATATCCTCCTTTCGTGCAACAGATTTGCTCTCTGCAGTTCAAAACCCCGGCCACCAACTATCTCTTCACACATTTGCCGCCTCACATCCCTCTCTTTTCCCTTGTTCCTTTTTGTCTTCACGTTTCCGTGCATGCATTGAGCGAGCACCCAGCACCTTCATCCTATTGTAAACACTCCATACATCATAGCCATCAAGACAACAGCAACACCCTGTGCCTTTGCAAGACGTCTTGTTTGCATACTCATTGCAACCACACGAAGCACGCCAAAGAATAGCCGCCGGGAAGGACAGGTTTACGCACTGGACGGACGTATCACTGACGAGATTAAAAGTCTCATCGTCCACTCTGACCTGAGGCAAATAAGGCATCGGTATATGGAGGGATAATTCAAAGAAAGACCAGGCAGCAAGATAGCCATATAGTAAAGAAAGAGGAGCACCAATAGCAAACGGAGTAGGAAACAATCTTGTCATTCTTAGCTCCTGGACAATACGCTTGTGGATGCTTTCATCTTGCCCCTGACTTAACAAAGTAATATTGACCTGTTTCTCCGGGTCTTGCCATGCTGAGCTTATTGTCTGTGTCTGGCACTAACAACGAATTGCTACTGCCAATGCTGACCTGGCTTGGCTGTGCAATTCGATGCACACTCTGCTCCCTCCAAGCGGCATCTAAAGCCGAGATGTCACGAAGGAAGGGTTGGAGGCAAATCGACATTGTTACAAATAACAGTTATAAGGAAGCTGCTCCGTTTCAATCCCTTCCATCGTGTCCCTCGCTTCTGTTTCAGCTTATGTTAACCATGGATTCTTCGAAATCCCAAACCGTGGAGCTCCGAGAGCAGTCATCACCAAGCCCTCCAGCAGAAGACAGGTTTCCGGAGGGCGGGTATGGCTGGGTCTGCGTCGTCTGCCTCTTCATGATTCATGCCCATACGTGGGGGATAAACTGCGTATGGCTTCCCATATCACCCCCTTAGAAGCAGCAACCACTCACTAATTTAGGCCTTTGGGGTCATCCTTTCGTTCTATCTTTCCAGCAATGAATTCCCCGGCACATCGGCTTTGGTCTATGCCGCCATCAGTGGCCTGAGCATCTCGTGCGCGTGCTTCATTGCCCCTTTTCTGACCTTCCTTGCACCCATCCTGCCTCTCCGCTTCTTCATCCTGGCAGGTGCAACTCTTCAGGCGGTTTCGATGGTCGGCGCTTCGTTCACAACCCAGAGTTGGCAACTGTTTCTCACACAAGGCCTTGGGTTTGGGTTTGGGATGGGATTCCTGTATATCAGTACTGTGGGAATACCCAATCAGTGGTTTAAGCACAGACGTGGAACCGCCAACGGGATTATGGCTGCCGGCTCGGGCACTGGGGGCTTTGTCTACTCCCTCGTGACAAAACAGATGTTGGATGCACTCGGATTCGAATGGACATTCCGCCTGCTCGGCATCATCTCCTCGACAGTCAATCTGGTTGCCGGGATGCTACTCCGCGAGCGTTTTTCCAAAGATCGACCAAAAATGACCTCCTCACGCTTACGCCGGCCCGCATTTCTCCTCTTCCTGCTCTTTGGTTTTTTTAGCATGCTGGGCTATATCTCTCTCCTCTTCAGCCTCGCAAGCTACGCAGAGGCAATCGGCCTGGGCGCCAGAAGAGGCAGTCTGGCGAGCGCCCTGCTCAACCTGGGCCAGGCGATTGGCCGCCCCCTCGTCGGCGTCCTCAGCGACCGCTTCAGCCGCCCCAAAGTTGCCGCCAGCATGTCAATCTTTTGCGGCTTATGCTGCATAGCATTGTGGCCCTTTGCCTTGGGCGAGGTCTCTCTGTACGTCTTCTCTATTCTCGCGGGCCTAGGAGCGGGGACAGTCTGGGCATCGGCGCCACCGCTGGCCGCGGAGCTTGTGCCGTTGTCTGAGGTGGGCTGGGCACTGGCTGTGTTTTTCGTGTGTGTGGCGCCTGCTGGGACGGTTTCGGAGGTGATTGCGCTGCGGCTTAGGGGCGCAGGGAGCGTACAAAGGCCTTATATTGCTGCGCAGATGTTTACAGGCGCGGCGTATCTTGCGGCGGGGGCGTCGCTGGGCCTTGTTCCACTTTTTCTGTAGTTTACAATTGTTTGCAATTGTCTCCATGCTTAGCTTGCGCATATAGCCAATTGACGCCATCCAGCCCCGGACTGAGAGAAGATTCATGCTGGTGTTCATCTCATGAGGCCGCGCGGCACCGTCCTCCATCTCTTTGCTGGGAATCAGTTTCCAATCATGGTACAGTGAGGAATTTCTAGCTTGCCCGCAGTAGATTGCACAAATGCTCCGGCTGTATTGTCTTCTTTCGAATACGAGCTGATGCGCGAGGTAGGTGCTGACTACAGCTGCGTCTCGGTAACTCCAAACATGTCAGCTTTCCCGAAGTTTGTACTTCCCCCAGGGATGAGGCTTAGAATTTATTTTGGACGACAGGCCCTGCAGCCTGAGGTCGCAGGGAGCACCCTGCGCTGTTCTCGGCTTCTATGGGACACGATTCGAGCGAACTCCGTTGACGAGAATGCAAACAATGCCTGTACCCTGCCAATAAGAAGGATCTATAAAAGAGCTGTACTGTACATGGAACGATCAACACCATCCGATAGTACTTACCCGACTTGCGCATTATCGCATGGATATGACAAAGTAGTCTTTTCCATATCCCTTAGTACACCTTTTCTCGCAGGTAGTGACCCCCGTCCAGCTTCCCCCATGCAGCATCGTCAGTACGACTTGCAGCTGTACTTGGGACGACGTTCGGAGACTTCACCTTACTCGGTCTAATTGAGGCTCCGGCAATTGAGGTGCAGGCTGTGATGGGCGATTGTACTACCTAAAATATCCGCCCCCGATCCCAATTGCTGTCACTCCCATTGATTTAGCTGTCCTGTCCTACAGATGCTGACCCCCCCGGCCCCCGTATCAGTTTTCGATCCGTGGAAGGCCGGATTAGACGCGGATTACTCAACACGAGATGGCCATGGTCAAGCAGTGAGGCAGAGATTCAACAACTCAAGCCCGGCAGGATACTATCTACTCCATGAAGATGTATGAGTAACGGGGGTTCCTGAAGTAGCCACTGACATTCTCATGTATCAGCTAGTAGAATAGACAACTCTTCCTGACGGCTCCCTCAATCACGAATCGCAATAAGCCCCGGGTAAGCTTGAATTACTCGACGCGACTGACTAGCCTACCTCCATTCGTGGAAGATCACTGACCACCTACAGACCCGTCAGCCCAGATCACCGGGGGCGGCGTTTCTACGGAACTCGGCACAGCATCTCAAGCCGACAAGCCCTGATGTTTAACAAAACCGCCGTCTCGTGGGAGAATTGGCGCTGTGAGATTATTAGGAGACATTTTGTAAGTATCCCATTCCTTTATTCTCTTACTTGTTTCAGTCTTACGATATATTATGATCGCCACTTGGTTATTTCTTTGGGATGCGCCGCAGGAATGGCCCGGATTAGCAAAGGGGTTATAGCTACAATGCAAATCCCTGCTTACAGGCGTATTCATTACCTAACAGAACTTGGACATTTCTCACAGATCTGGAGTGACTACCATTCAGCGTACTCTAGTCCTGGGCAGCCCGAAAAAGTGAGTCAATAAGGCTACTCTTCGCCTTCCCAAGCTCTAGTGCAGCATCAATCTCATCATCAATATTCTCGAAAAAGCGTTCTTTACTCCATGTCGGCCGCCATCCAATTCTCAGTGGAACCTCGGCTACGATGCTGTCTCTGAAGATATCATTAGTTCTAACTATTCAAGCATGATACAGACACTTGGGCAGTGGCTTACTTACCCCGAGTTCCACAGTGTCTGCACGAATTGTTCTGGGACACCTAACAAATCCGCAGCAACTTGGTCATTGGGATAAACCCGAGTGTCTCTGTCCGGGGCCAGGCCACGAGACTTCAGAGCTAGAGCTAGGTGATCCAGCACTTCTCCAAGGAAGAGATCATGTGCCAGCGCAAAGTAATATCCCTCTTTACCACATGGCAATGTCTCGCCTAGGAGGATCTTCTCAACAATCCGCCCATATAATGCTGTTAAATCGGAGATGTGGACTGCCGATACTTTCTGCGCATTTAATTAGTCACGTTCGATAGCACCTGCTAAAGCATCTGTTACCGTGTTTTCAGGGAACTTGTACACTGCCTGGCGTGCAAGGCTAGCTTGAATGTAGACAGGCAGTACCACCGACACCTTGTTCCATTCACCAGTGCCTTTGCCATCTATTGCAATTGTCAGGACTTGCTGCTATCAAACTATTTGGGGACACTCACAGACTAGGGACGGCACGATAACAAAGTTAGTCACTCCTTGTTTTGCGGCATGCTCGATGACAGATACGTCAGTCTGCTTTAGTTAGAAATCTTATTCTGATAACAATAATGCATTTGGGGAAGTCTTACGTTTCGGATAGGGAACGACTCCGCAAGCTGCTTCTCCGTCTCAAATACAGCATCCGTATCTTTGAACGGTCCAGCTGGCCAACCCGTGCTTTCGTAGAATGCAGTAAGCCCCGAGGTCTTTCCCATCATCAGTACAAGCATTAGGGATGTAAATAGCTCTTACATGTAGCCAGCGGCCCCAGTGATCAGAATTTTCGAGGACATGGTGCAGTTGGCAATTGTATAGGCATGGAAGATACCTCTCGGAAAGAGTGAGCAGCTGAAGACGGATCTATGTTAAGTTATAGCATGGGAAATGAACCATTCGCAACTGATGCAGAGGATCATTTGTCATCAAGCTGCAACGCCATTATTAATGTTATTGGTAACAGATTACCAAGCATTGGAGCAAATAAAGACAAATATCTTCAACAAATCATATGAGACATGATTTCATAAGCCTCATTTTGCATTGGTTGCCCTGTTTGCACTCCTGGTTATAAAGCCGGTATAAAAAGAAGTAAAATATAATTATGGGTTAAAAGTCTATACACACCTAAACTATATAGTATAACATAAATACTTTAAAATTAAATTACTTAATAACCATAACAAATTAAAACTTTTAAATTAATATTAATTAAAGTTATTTAATATTTTATATACTACTTATAAGCTTAATATACTATATTTATTTAATATAGTATAAAATTAATAAGTTTATTTATTAAGGCCTAAAAAATAGCTTATTAAGTATTTTAAATAACTTTATAAAAGTAATTTTAATTAATTTTAGCTTTTTTTCTAAAAAATAAATAAATAAAGCCTTAAAAATGCCTTTTTAATATATTTTAAATATACTTAATAAGGTTTAAATTAGGCAAGTGCAAAAACTAGTTAATAACTTAAATTTTATAAAATTTAAACTATTTTTATGTTACTAATATAGTATAAATTTTTATATTATTTTATTAAAATATAAAACTAGGCTTATAATTTTTAATAAGGTTATTTTTAAATATTTAAATATAATTATTTATAAAGTATTTTTACTTTTTAACCTTAAGGTTTTTTTTATAACCACTAATTTTAATTAATTATTATGCTAAATAAAACCTTATATTATTTATAAAATTAGCTTGCTTTAAATTATTAGGTTTATAAGATTTTTTTAAAGCTTTTTTTTATAATAAAAAATAAATTACATGCTATGTAAGGCCTTTTATTAAATATTATATTTATTTAAAAATATTTAAGTATTTTAACCCCTATATTTTTATTATAACTTAATAAATTTAAATTATTTTTTTACTTTTTTTAAATAAAGGTATTTTTTTAAATTTTTATTTTTTAATATAATATTTTCTAAAAACATGCTTTATAATTAAAATTAAAAAAAATTTAGGTATACTAGCTGCTAGCGCCCTTTAGTTTAACTTAAAAAATTTATATATTATTTAATATAAATATTAAGTAATCAATTAGTTAATAATAATAGGCCTTTTTTAGGCTTAGTTAATATAATTAAGTATATATTTTAGTATTTTTTATATTATATATTATGTGTTTAAACACGTAAAACTTAATTATAAATTTAGTTAGTAATTTTTTAATAGCTAGGTAACTTAAAATAATAATATATAATTTTTTAAAAAGCTTTATATTAAGCCTTTAATTTTTACTTATTTTAGTTTTAAAAAACCTTATATTAGTAAAGTTGTGGTAGTTTAAAAAAAGTTATAGTTTTAAAGTTCTACGCGGAGCGGGAAGTATACCCAAACTTTTAACCCACGTTTGTACTATACGCTGTAGAGGCATTATATCTCATTCTTTCTTCCATTCAACAACAATCGAGGACATTCATCTACACTGGGAACATCCTGAGCACTACAATTATGCCGCCACTTTTGTCTTTGGGTGTAGGGAAGTCAGCCACGGCCCATATTATTCCATCGACCGCCGCTGCTTATTCTGACCAAGGCTTCAAGTACAAAACCCTTACCCACTCGTAGTACCATCATCACTAGCTAATTCCCCGTTTCTAGGTTTTAATATACTGGTGGACGCAAGCCTGATGGGGCCCCTGCGTATTTCAATGTTGATGGAGAAGCGCACGCGAAGTTCTATCTCGAGCTTGCTGGCAACAAAGCACAGGGTCCGTGGCAGCAGACTTTCGTCAAGGGTGTCAAATACAGAGTGTTCTAGGATTATCAATAGCGATTGCTGTCTAGTTCTTTGCACAAGAGCGCCTAATATTATCCCAAGAAGTCTTTCAAAACGGGGAATCGACCGGCGCTCTGAGACTGCATCGGGCATGGGCATTCACCGAATAACTAAAAGCTAACGTTCCTTTTCTGCTGATCGCTAATTCTACTCGACATCGAGTCCTCCAATACTGTTGTACAAAGCACTATCTTCCCGTCATTGGGCTTTGCTCTATCAGGCTGTCAGGGATCTGTCTTGCTTGAGGCGATATCTTAATCGAGATTCCGTACATTGGAAAGCAATGACAAGCTAAGTCATGTGGTTGTGGCTGTGATAGTTATCGTGTAACTGAGGCTGTTGCAGGCATACTTGCGTGTACTTTACTTGGGACCATCGGGCCCTGGCTGCATGTAGCAATCCTCCTTCTCAACAAATACTTTCCAACCACCGGCATCTCCAAACCAACCCTGACTCCATTGGTCCCCTCTGTTACAGTCATCGAGGATGGTCTCTGCGGCGTTCGCAATCACCGTCCAGTCGCGAAAACCAAACTTATCATCGTTCTGCACACACTCTGGTCAGTCAAACGCCCCGTTTCTTTGCCAGCTGGTTGTCTCCGAACCATGTAATGGAGGTACTCACCGTGTTACACCATTTGATCTTTGCTTCGCCCGCACAGGAGGCTGTTTGGCACCTGCCGGGCTTGAGGGAGGGTGCCTTTTCCTTGTTTCGTGTTTCGCGGAGGTATTTGATGGCGTTTGCGAGGTCCTTTCTGTCACCATTCTTTTCGCCCGCGCAGTGAAGCCCGTACGGGTGGGATATATAGCGTGGATGAAGTTCAGTTGTTGCGGTGATGTCCCAGTCGTCATTGGACATTGGCTCAATATCAGCATTGGCCGTAGCTTCGAGCGGGTGCTGTAGGAGATGGCTGGTCAGTGACTCGACCTCGTACGCAGGACAAGGGACTTGGATTTCGTACCGCAGAGGTCACCAGGACCAGTGCCAAAAAGTTGATAATTGCGAAAGAGCGCATCTTGAATCGGTAACTATACTGAAATACCGAGTTCTCTGGAGAGCGACCTATGGAATTACATACACTCTTTATAGATGAGCATCAGGCTGGTCACGCATCGAGGTTGTCATAAATGAGCCAAGTTTCACATCTTTGACAGAGGCATTACGCTCTTCTGTCAGGGCATTGGCGGCCCTCTTTGTTATGTCTCGTTTGCGACTCTACAGCCCGTGTCATACCCTCGAGCTTTGGGGCCGAGATGCTAGGTAACAAAGAAAAGCATTTCAGGATCTGCGACGCTGCTTGTTTGATCCTGACCTACAAAGTTGTGTCAGAGTCAATATCGAACAACCATTACTTACGCCTTTCTTGTCCAATGTTGCTGATATCAGAACTGCAGGTTTTGTGCTCCGTAAGCAACAAATGTCAACGCATGCAGTGGGTGATTCTTTCTGTTGCATGTTTCGAGATGATCTTTCTCAAGGCCAAGCACAAAGGAGCTTTATGCCTTTACCAAAATCGCTGAATCAGTATATTCTAGTCAGGCTTGCGGATTTACATGACATCAAACACATCGAGGCAAAGAAAGGGATCAACCCATGAATCCTTGCAGCTATGGAGAATGCATCAGGGCTAGCCTAGGGTTCAAAGAAGGACAGCATTGTTGAAATAGTAAACCATAAAAAGTTGAATCTGCTCTCCGTCCGCAGCATCAGCAGTCTATTTCCTGTCGTCTTGCCGCTGCCTTGTCTTTCCGATTGTGAACATGCGCTTGGCCAGCCCCTTGGGCCTAACGGAGATGAAAGAAGCCTTTAATAGTGATGTGTTGCTCGATGAGTCCTTTAGCTAGGCATGCAGAGCCAGAAGGTTTTAACCAGGAGAGCTTTAGACATAGAAAATCCCATTGGAAATCCATTATATGCATATATATAAATGTGTGTATGCATTCATTCATTAACAGCTGTACGTTCGATGCTCACAACTTCTCAGCAGGAGGTCTTTCTTTGAGATCCCTTTCCGGATACACTACCAAGATGACCTGGGTACGTGTAGCAACCAGATGCCCGGCTTTGTCAATGCCTAAGACTTCCAGGTCCGCGCAACTGCCACGAAGCATCCTGGTAACAACGCGCGAATTGAGCCTCAAAACTGTACCAGGCTTGCTCCCGTCGTGACTCTTGGGCCAATCCTTCTGTGGGATTGTTGCTGAATGTGTGCTTGCTTCCATTTCTCCTGGCCTGTCCAGTGCAGCAGGAATGGTATCGGCCAGGTGCACCACCGCTTCGTTGGACTATCCTGCTGGCTGCTAATCTGGGTGAACTTTGCCCATTGATCAACGACCTGCTTTGTCCGCTGCTCAACTGGCTTTGGCAATATCGTCAACGAGAGGCTGTAGAGTTGGAGGTGCGTCCCTGCACGAACTGCAGGTGGTGGCAAGGGGCCTACCCTACATTCACCGTCTGCTCCGTTTTGTGCCAGCCGCTCAAAGTCAATCTGGCTAGTAAAGAAAGGGTTAAACATAATATAACTTTGGCATAAGAACTCGCTTTTAGTCCAACATACTGTGACTCTCAGGACAGACGAACCCTACACATTATCAAAAAATGAATTGCCCATTATCAAAGAATGCATCCCCCATTGCCTCCATAATTCTCTGACGCTCCGACTCACGCTCCTCCCACTCACTCCACATCTCCTCGATCTGCTCCTTTCCCTGCCGCGTCCAACCCTCCGCCCGGCAAACCCGCCCTACCATCCCCGGGAGCTTTTCGAGCACCAGCACCCCCAGGTCTAGCCGCTCCTCCAGCCTCCGTATCGCCCGCTGCATCCGCCTGCTGGTCACCAATTCCCGCAGCTGCCCCAGATCCTGCTCACTATACCCCACCAACTCAATCACCACCATCCGCAGCCGCTGGTATGGAGTACCCGGAGCCAAGCCCTCCAGCACCGCAGTAATCGGCTCCGCTCCCTCCTTGGGCAGCACCTGGATCCCGATCCACTGCAGCCATTCCCGGGCATCAAACCCGCTGTCTGTGCCGGCGAGGAACTGTGCCAGCACCCCGGCATGCGCAAACCGGAAGAGGTTCTCCCCGTAATACACCTCCTGCGCCACTCGCGTTGTCCTTGGGGAACCAGTTACCCCCTCCTCAAGGAAATATCGCCCGTCTCCCATCATGCTATTCAACACCTCGTCCTCCGTCACATCCACAATGCCTTCCGTGGTTAAAAAGACGGCGAGGCGTGTCTCCAGATCATCCGCCTTCATTTGTTCGTACCGAGGAATCAACCGCTGTGTCTTTTCCCAATCAAGCAACAGCGCCTGGCGCTCCTTCTTCAACGAATATTAGCCTTGGAAGATGACTGGCGAGGCCGCCTACATAAGGTAGCATGCTGTTCAGTGGCTCCATGGTTAATCCTCTTGGGTTGGCAGTATTATACCAGGCGCGGAGGAAGGAAACAGGTGGAAGCAAATCTACAAGCCGGGCGGGGCAACTCACCACTTTAGTACCAGCACCGTGTCAGGCCTGACCCTACCTCGGGAAGGGGGTGATGGCAACATCCAATCAAACGCCTCGCTTCACAGACCTCGATTTGCTTACCGAGTCGGACTTCCAGTGATGCATGTACGACCTGAGACCTCCGGCCGCCGACCACCGGGTTCTAGACGACGTTCCAGAGGCGAATTAGCTCTGGGATTGCTTCAAGTTGCCAAACTGTTGGATGGTGGCCACGGCGACCCATTCTTGCTGAACCCACCGATTGGCATCTCCATTGTGCCGAGCATCGTGAAGAAGAAGTACTGTGAGCCGAACTTCAACGCACTTGGGTTTCCTAGAGGTTCAGCTGTCCGTCACCCGTTGACCATCCTCGAGGAGGTCAAGGTTCTTGACCAAGAGCCCCTACGCTACACGGTGGGATTAGATGCATAGATTGATGGAGATGGGGGGGTTCTGAAAGGCAGTAAAAGTATTAGAAGAGGTTGAGGGCCAGGAGTACAGGCCGCTCTGATTCCGACATAAGAGACATAATAAACAGAAAATTAAGCCGCAACTTGAAAATATTTATCTATCACCTAGCCTTCATTGCATGCTGCATTTTATGATTGTTGGAGGTAGAAGGATCGAGAATAAAGGAGTCTGCAATGAGCGAGTGCTGGCCACGACTGCGCCATGTATAAAGACGTCATGTGCAACCTGGATCGACAAGGGACATGAACTCATAGCCACCGCTGATAGGTCACACTTCGCTGCAGGTGACTGACATTCCTTGATTCAAGGCCTCGACCTGCAGCATTCAACATACTGAAGTGGCTTGGAAGACGGCCTGCCTCGTATGAAGAAGTGGTTGAGTCTGTGTAGACGATGGCAATAAGCCCGCCAAGCTCAGCCCTAATGCCGCCGATCGGGATGGAATCGAGGCCGAGTCTCCAGAAGAGAGTGGGAAGTGGTCGGGCCAGCTCGGCTTGTGGGTCGTGCCCTGTCTGTTCCAAAGCTGGTCATCTCGACGTCATGGCAGGTCCACTGCACTACTCTGCATATATCAGGCAGCAGCTTTGCTTGGCTCCCTGGTCATCCTTCCAGAAGCAATACTTCTAACTCTCAAACCGACGACCGCTCCAGTAACGAGACTCAATCATGTCCACTCAACCACACCCCATGACGTACTCGGCCGAAACCTTCACCGCAGGCCTCCACGACACAAAACCCTCGATAACCTTTGATCCCCTCGAATGGGAATCCCTCGCGAAGCAGCGCCTCTCAGCCAACAGCTTCGGCTACGTCTGGGGCTCCGCCGGAACCCGACAGACAGACGACAACAACCGCGCCGCGTTCAAGAAATGGGGAATCATACCCTCACGGCTGGTCAAGGCTGACTTTCCAAGCCTCAAGACGACTTTGTTTGGCGACCAGTACGACTATCCTATTGCACTTGCACCGGTCGGCGTACAGACTATCTTCCATCCCGAGGGGGAGAAGGCGGCTTCAAAGGTTGCCGGGGAGCAAGGCGTTACATATATCCTGAGCACAGCGACCTCAACAAGCATTGAGAATGTTGCCAAGGCAAACGGGAATGGACCAAGGTGGTACCAGCTCTACTGGCCCAGCAACGAGCACAACGACATCACGGCGAGTCTGTTAAAGAGAGCCAAGGAGAACGGGTACAAAGTGCTCGTCGTCACGCTAGATACATACATGCTCGGCTGGCGACCCAGCGATCTCAACAATGGCTACAACCCGTTCCTGCGAAACGACAATATCGGCGTGGAGATGGGCTTTTCGGACCCCGTCTTCCGGAAACATTTCAAGGCCAAGCATGGGGCTGAGATCGAGGATGATGTCGAGAAAGCCGCGCAGGAGTGGGCACATACGATCTTCCCTGGAACAAGCCACGGATGGGAGGATGTTGCCTTCCTAAAGGAACACTGGGATGGGCCGATCGTGCTGAAGGGAATCCAGACGGTGGCTGACGCGAAGAGAGCCGTTGAAGCCGGTGTGCATGGGATCGTGGTATCGAACCACGGCGGGAGACAGCAAGACGGCGGGATCGGGTCACTCGATGTGCTGCCTGAGATCGTGGATGCCGTCGGCGAGGAGCTCGAGGTTCTGTTTGACTCTGGCGTACGATGCGGTGCTGATATCGTCAAGGCGCTTGCACTGGGAGCGAAGATGGTGCTTGTGGGGAGGCCGTATGTGTACGGGCTGGCGATTGGGGGGCAGGAGGGGGTGAGACATGTGCTTCGCAGTCTGTTGGGAGATCTGCAGTTGACGCTGCATCTGTCTGGCATTCCGGATGTGTCGAGGGAGAAGCTGAATCGGGATGTCTTGAGACGCATTTCATGAGTTAATGACGGGACATACGATGATCGCGATAGGTGGTCATCCTAGATAAGTGCAACAAGAACATATTCTCATCGATTCATTCATCTAAGACATACCTAAGAGATATATTATGGCCTGATGTCGTGCACATTTAAATGGTTTACTTGTATTGGAGATGAAAACCCAACCAATACCGTATCTAAATGATCGAACGAAGTCTATGCACAGGTACAGAAAGGAAGGGCGAGAGGAATTGTCTTGAAAGGATAGAGGGAAATGCCCTACTCGGTGATGATCCGCGTGATCTTTGCGCGTACATTCAATTCTCCTTCCTCGGGCAACGGAGTCCCAAAGTCGCGAGCAAACTCGATGTTGGCTTTTGGGGTCTCATAGAGCTCGATGTCGAACTTACGGACCAGCGTGGCGATGATCAGGAACATCTCAGCATAAGCCAGGCTGTGACATGTTAGCTCGTAGGCACATGAATTCAGGTCTTGAACAACTTACTTCTGTCCCACACACATCCTGCTTCCTTTGCCAAAGGTCACCAGGTACTTGTCTAGTCGGGCGCCTTTGGCGGCAGCTCGAGCCCATCGATCGGGGTCGAATTCGTGTGGATTGGGGAAGATCTCGGGGTCCATAAGCACAAAGTAGTTGATGTGGCTCATGACCGTCTTGCACATATTGTTAGTTCTGTAGTCCAAGAGCGGCCGAGTCTACTTACCCCCGGCGGAATGGTTATCCCCTTGTACACCAGGGCTTCGTTCGGAGCGACGCGAGGGGACCTGCCCGCAATGCCCGTCGCTAGACGGAGGGACTCATTGACGACGTTGCTCTGGTGCTGTTAGTGCTGGAGGGCTTGGAAGGAGACAAGGGCTTACGAGGTATGGCAACTGCTCCAGCTCCGTCCAGGTAGGTCGAGCATCTGGCGTGGGCATGATGGTCTTCAACTCGGTACGGAGCTTGGATCGGATATCGTCCCTGTTGTAGATGTGCCAGGCAGCCACCGCCAGCGGTCGTGTCTGCGTCTCCACGGCGCCGACAATGATGGCGAACCCTTCGTGCATCACGCGATCGGGAGCCCGCAGGTCTGCTGGCACCGAACTGGCAGTAAGGTGGCGGATCAGCTTGCCGGGCGTCTTGTCGCTGGGCACATCTGCCACTTTCAGTGCTTCAACACCTCGCCGGTACAGATCGTGCTTCTCGCTCAGCAGCGCAAAGACCGGTGGACTCAGCTTCTCCCACAGCCTGAGCGGCAACGAATCCATGATGATGTGCAGAGCCGGGAAGAAGTACAGCAGGTGGGCGCCGTGGAAGAGTCCATTGATTCCATCCCGGACATGGCCGTTGAAGCCCTCCTGGTCGAGGTTCCCTGGGTTGTAGCCGTACAGGTACTCGTGGATGAGATCCGAGGCCAGAGCAGCAAACGCAGTATCCAGTCGGACGACGTCGCCACCCCGCTGCGCCTCTTCAAAACGATACACAAGCTTGTCAATGTGGCCGCGGATAAAGTCCTCGATGTTCTGAATGGCGCGCTTGGAAAAGGAACGGTCAAAGATGGATCGGCGCTGGCGGTGGGTTTCGGCCTCGATGGCGGAGATGGACGACATCATCACGTTGAACTGGGACTGGAAGACCGGGTCCTTGTGGCGTCTCCGGGCGCTGGATGCGTAGATCTCCTCGTAGTACTCGGGATCCAAGATGTGCACCTCGCGGGGGTTGATGCGGATGATGGGGCCTGTGTGGTTAGTCGGCATTCTACAACAGCAAGGAGGGAGGCGTACCGTAGATCTCATGGAGTCGCTGGATCTCCCAGATGAGGGTGCCCTTCTTGATGACATCGTAGTAGAACTCGTAGCCGTGGGTGATGGCCGCCAGTCTGGGGCCGGGGATGTGGCTCAACGGGTGGAAGTACAGTCGATAGATGCAGACGATGAGGAGGTAGGCTACGAAGCCGACACCGAATAAGACAAACGAGGCCATGGTGATGAGGACTACAGTGCACGAGTATTGAAGACCCCAGCAGCGAAGTGCCAGATCGGAAGCAGATATATTGCGACCGTGCTGCAGAGTGATACGCACACCAATCGTTTGGGCTTCCCATTAAGCGCCGGACCAGGGTACAGCATGAAACGGCTGGTGGCAGAGTATGCCGCATGCATGTCAGCCCAGGGTTGATACGAGGCTGCTGGGGAGTTCTGCGCCGCCGTGACAAAGAAAGTCTCTTTCGGTTGATGGCATTGTGACAGCCAATGACATCCAGGGTAAAAGATACCAGATACGACGCTATCTGAACAAGATCGAATGAATCTCTGCCGATCGGGGCTAAGTTGCTTCAGCTGCAGCTTATGCCCTTGGCGAACCCGGCGTGGCCTTTTGGTGTCGCACAACGCTGAGCTGGACTCAGACCCAGAGTACAGCCTTGGCTGACTGAGTCTCGTATGTCCAGCAGTGAGCTGAAGCCTGCAGGGAACGGTATCTCCTGTTCCTATCCACTGGCACTGGCAGGCGTTGAGGGATTCATCTTGAAAACTTCTAGAAGTTCTAGGCTCTGCTCGAAACGCCCGATGTTTTCGAGAGTTGAGAGTGAGTTCACTCGAGCTTTCTATTTTATCAGGCAAAGCTTCTAGCCTCGTACCAGGGCAGCGAAAGACTAAAGTCAATGCCTGTCCAACCCACCTTATGCAACGGTCAGGCCACCGTATATCTGGCGGGGTAAGCTTAACAAGGCCTCCATCGGGAATTCTACAGCCTGACCTATGGCCGATCGCCGTTCGAGGCTCAGGAAACGTGGTGACCGTGAACGAGCCTCACCTGTGTCACAGAAGATGGGATCGAGCCACCTTTGCTGGACCACGGTCGCAGGCTGCTATATATAGAAGGGCAGAGTAATAAGCTGACTTCTAAAGAGGCGCGCCCGGACAAAGCACTGGCTTATCGCTGATTGGGCATGAGATACCCATTGGGCTGCATTAGAGAGTGTATGCTGGGGAATAAGGTCTCAATGGTGATGTGAGGGAGATGGCTCATCGCTTCCCTCGCCTTCGAACCTTCCGTCGCGGCTCAAAAGAGAAGACACTCATCCCTCTCCTGATGGACTGACGAACAGGAACCGAAACCCGTTGAAGTCGGAAGAATCCGACCGTGAAAAGCGCAACGCTGATGGTGGTGACATAGGTGATGAGGATGTTCCTACTCCCAGCCTGGCCGATCTCAACATCCAGGGTTTCCGTCCACACAAACGCCAGAAAAACAGCCATCCCACCGAGAAGTAAGAGCAGAGCCGACGACAGAAGAAGCGAGGGCGCTGAGGTCAACACAACCGAGGATGGTGCCGGGGCCAGGTTGCGTAGCAGGATATCTGCATCCAGCTCGTCGGCTTCGCTCTTGCCAGCATAAGTCAGTCGCTCGACAAACTCGTCCTCAACCCGGGGATCCATATCCTTGATCCAGGCGCGTAATTCCTGGTCCGACACCAGGCGGCTGATGGTCCAGGCGTGGTCGTCCGCGAGATAGACAGCCAGCACGGCAGTGACCATGCTCGAGGTCCAGCAGGATTGCACCACCCAGTGTGTTCGCGATACATTCGTCAGGGCGAGCGCGGCCATTGCGACGGCGGCAATGATTCCACCCTAAGCGGCATGAGTTTACCTTAATCAGTCGTTGGCTTCTTGTACTTACCGAAGTCTCGATCCGGGCGCTGGCGTCCTGGACCGCGCTCTTGAACTCGTCACCGGGCGTTTTACATTCGCACGGGTCTTCAAGTAAGGGTGAAGGAGAAATTGGCGATATCGTTGGCCGTCGTCTTCGCCTGATGCGAGGAATACTGGCTCGTCTCCGCAGTGACCGCCGTATGCCTTTCCGCCAGCTGCCACCAAACGCAGTGCCAACCGAACGTGAGATGAACGCCTCCTCAGGAACTTCATCAAACAAAGAAGCCAGCACCTCGCTTTGCAGCATCCAGATCGACTTCTTCGCGACCGACGCCACAGCAGCTGCCCCGACGGGGCCATAGAGCCGGTTCCATACCCGGAGGTCGTCATATGTGACATGAACGGCCAGCGCTGCGCGGTCGAGGGCTCGCACGACTGGAGACGAATGATCTGGCTCTCTGTGTCTCCTGTCCCACCGGTCGTTGTAGCCAGGCTTGAACCAGAAGTTCCTGTCGCTGCTGCTGATCTTCCAGACGCGGGGGGTCTCACGGCGTCTCTCCCCAAGGTATGCCTCGTAGGATGGCCCGTATCTCCCTCTCTCACCACCGTATTCCTCGTAGGATGGTCTGTATCTTTCTCTCTCCCGACGGGATCCCCAGTATTCCTCGTAGGAGGGCCTGTATCGTTCTCCCTCGCTATATCTTCGCCTGCCTTCTCTGCGAGAGTAAAGACGAGGAGAAACCTCCTCGATGTGAACCTCCTCTAGTTCGTCGTCATCTCGGTTGCGATGCATGCTGTGAGATCTGAGGAGCAGAATGGTCCGCTCGCATTGACTTGGGTCGGGTGCAGATTGCAGTCTGGGCCGGCCTCGTTCATGTACGCTCGTGTGGCTGGCCTTGATTGGCCTCGCCCTGCTCCTAGGAACTCGTCTAACCAGTCCAAATGATTCCCAACAGACTCAGTCTCATTCGCTAGTCCCTGCGGTCACGGGGACTCTGCTTGGGCGTACGGGGCGGCTTCCCCTCCGGTCGCTCCTCCCACCCTGCATCCACCATGCCCATCTCATCTCTCCCCGTCGAGGTGCTGCATCTCATCTGCGAGGTTCTCGCAGCCGAGTACTCCGTATCTCCCCAGTGTCTCCGATCTCGCCTTGGTCAACAGGCATTTCTACTCGGTCGCAGGCCCCCACCCCTTCCACCACCTAAAGCTACACCTAGTCAGTAGGCGCCAGCTCTGCGCCAATGTCGACCGCTGGCTCCAGATCCTGGACCGAACGTCCGCCTTTGCATCTGTACGTCGCATGACCGTCTGGGGTGAACTGCCGACCGTGAAAGCCGAGCAGATCCTCCATGAGCATGGAAGCAGCAGCGATGGCTTTAACAATTATGACAATATCGCGCATGGAGAAGCCGAAGATAAATTGACCTGTGTCCATGAATACTATCGCCCCGGCCGCGCTGGCATCGTCTCCGTGCGCAACGAGATCGACCATTGGGGAACGTTGCCCGAGCTGCCGCAGAAGCTGTCCGGTTTGAAAGATCTTGTCTGGGCTTCCAGGGCGCTTCTCCCCCCATGGCTGCTCCAGGAACTGCAGGCAAATCCCGCCTGCAGACTGCACAACCTCCTCTTCAGACTCCCCAGCCTGCAGATCAAGGGTGATCTCGGCGATGTGCCGGGCATCGATCCGCACGAGTTCGCGCTGGCCACTTGGCCGAACCTGACCAGAATCATGATGAGTGACTCGGGGAGCCATGTCCCGGGACAGGTCGATTGGAATAAAGACGCGATATTGTTCAGAATCTTGAAACCGACCCCGAGCCTCAAACATGTTCACATCGCCAGACAATATCTCCAGTTCCGACCAGTGACACGCCAGATGCGACAGCTGGCGCGAAGCTCACGGCGATGGCCCGGGGTCTCCATCTATAATGGCCGGCAAGCTCTACAGCACCAGGAGCTTACTTTCCAAGGCCCTCGTCCCCATTTACGCACCCTGAGCTTTAGACCAGCCAATTATTGGTTCGATGCTTGCACGTGGCTTGGGCGTATCCTCTGCTCCAAGCTGGAGACCCTGCACCTGTGGGAAGTATCGCACGACGTCCTCTCAGTCGCAGCACGATGCGAGTTTTCCTCCCTCACGGCTGTAGCCTTGGATCCTCACGAGGACTACATGGAAGATACGGAAGGCGTGTGGGACCAGACAGTAGCTACACTGATTGCAAGCATCAATGGCAAGCTTACGAGCATCCATCTCTCGACCGGGGTCGTCGGCAACGTCGAGACAAAGAGATCTCTCCAGGCTGTCCTAGACACTCACGGCCAAACGCTCGAAAAGCTCTCGCTTGTCGGGGGTATTTACATTGACCCGCGAGCACCACCCACCACCGTCGCCCAAATCGAGCAGATCAGCACAGCGTGCCCTCGCCTGCGCGAGCTGCGGCTTCCAGTCCGACGGCAGAGAGGTTCAATCCAGGAAGCCGCGATGTACAAGGCACTTGGGACATACCTGCCGCGTCTCGAAACGCTCTGGCTGCGACTCGACTCCATCACCGAAGCAGAAAATAAAATAGACGAGCAGGCCACACAAGACCTCCTAGCCGACATCGCCGTGGACGAGACCCTCGCCCGCAGCATCATGGCCACAGTCCTCGACGCTGCACAGCCACGCTCTGCATTGCGCCTCCTCCAAATCGAGCACGGCCGAAACGCAGGGGTCCCGCAAGGCCTCAGCGAGATCCTCGACCGAATGGAGTTCCGCTGGAAATGCTTTCGGTTTTTTGACCATGGTGTGGAGAGGGTCATCGTGCAGAGGGTCAAGGCCAGGAACAGGGGATACGGCTTCAAGAAGGGCTTTGTGGAGCTGGGGAGCTACAAGGGCGTTTTTTAGGGGATTTGGCCGCGGGACAGTGGGTGCTGGGAGAATGATTAGGGGAGGTTTCCTCTAGTGCAGGTCTAGAATAAGGTCGTCAACTTACTCTATAAACAGAGCATAGTAGAAAGACCTGCTACTTGATTTAGACAGAGCCGTTAAGATATGGACTTTGGGACTCAGAGGCAAAGATTATTGGGTACAGGTGCTCTCAGGCATCTAGCTCTCGCTCAGCACCGAGCATTTGCGGAAACCCCAGGATCTGGTATATATTCCCATTATCAGCGGCAATTGTAGGAACAAGCCAGAACGTTGTCTAGATAAAGCAAATACAAGTGTCCCATTAAATCTGTACCAGGCTTCCTGGGTCTTGTGTGCCTACGCATAGGGCTTGGTCAAGCTCGGCGGCTGTGTATTTAATGCCGTAAAGGTGCAGTGACCTAATTTATCCCCGTAAAACTCGGCTATTGCTGCTTTAAACACCTTAGGAAAATACTCCGTTTCTCCCCACATAACCGGCTTTAGAGCCACCGTCGGCAGGTCTTCGTTCTTTGGTGGGTGATATGCCGCGCTAATGGCTATGCTGCAGCTCCTAGCCAGCGGTATGCAGGATGGTATTTTGCGCAGACCCAACCTAATAAGCAATGCTGCCATTACCAGTCCAACCAGGACAGCCAAGAGAATTGGCATCAGTAAGTATTTTAGGGAGCTCACGGTGTTGGAAACGCTGAGGTCGCCGCGCAGGTCGTGGGGCTCAAACCGGATGTAGAACAGGCTTTGTGAGATAAGCCAGTGGAGGGTGGTGTAAAACTACTGAAAGGAATAAATAGTTACTGTAGGTAAAAGTCTCTTGTATTACATGGTATATTAAGCTAAATATTTTAAAAATAAATAAAAGGTTTTACAGGTGGCTGTTTAGGCTAAAAAAACCTTTTTTTATTAAAGTCTTAAGGCCTTTAATAACCTTAGGTACTTACTTTTAACACTCCCCTTTATTTATATTAAGAACTCTTTTAAATTAGTAAGCCGTAGGCTGCTAGTATAAAAAAAGATTTTTTTTAAATTAATAAGTTATAAGCTATTAATATTAAATTTTTTTTTTAAAAGTATAATTTATAAATAAGTATTAAAAAGCTAGTAATTAAAATAATAAAAATAATAAGTATTAATAAAAGCTTTAAATATTAATAAGCTAAAATATGTCCTAAAAATATAAATAAATAATAATAAAATATATAAAATAATAAATTTTTAATAAAAGTTTTAGGTACTAGGTGGCCTAGGGTAAATTAAATAATAAATAATAAGTTAAGTAATTTATAAATTTTAAAACTAACTAGTATATTTACTAACTTTTTTATAAATTATATAACCCTTTTATAATTAAAAAAGTAATAATAAATATTAAAGTATATAAAAAATATTTTAGGGGTAAAATAAGGCCTAGTTTATATAAAAAGTATTATTAACTAGTAATAATAAACTAGTATATAATAATTTATTTAAAAATTTTAATTTTTAATATAGGGTAGATTACCTAGCATAGTAATATATTAAATTTACTAAAATATATATTTTAAATATTAATTTTTTTTAAAAAATTTAGTACTAGTATAATATTATATATTTTAAAGGGTATAATATTAGTTTAATAACTATAATAGGCGTAATTAAGCCCTAAATATAAAGTTTTTAAGGTATAGGCTAGTAGGATTATAGTAGGAATTATAGTCCTAAATAATAATTTTTTTTATTAAAAAATAAGATTACTATAATAGCCCATATATGCTAAAAATTAATAATATTATTTAGCTACTTAATTTAAAAAAGTTTTAGGGTTTTAAAGATAGTTAACTATGTAATATAACCATGCTTTAAAACCTAAAAAAATATTAAATAAAAATTTTAATTAAGATAGTTAATAAGCTAATAATACTAGTAAGCCTATATTTTAATATTTAAAAATAAAATTTCCCGTGGGTAAATATAAAAAGTACTAGGGATTTTATTAAACTAGGCTAAAAATATATTAATTTTTAATATTATAGTTAGGGTATTATATAAAACTAAAATAAGGTTTTAAGGTAATATAATATTATATTACCTTTATTATAAAATTAATTTTTAAAAATAGGGATAAAGTAATAATAAGCTAAAAATAAAAATAATTAAATATAGTTTTATAATATGCAAGTTATTATAAGTTTAATATAAAAAAGGCTAATTTTAGTATAAGAATTACTAAAAAACCTACTTATATAAGCTTAAAAAAAATTTTAGTAAGGCTTTAAAGTATTTAAATATTTTAGGCCTTAGTAGTTTAATAAAATTATTTATTATTTATTTTTTAATAAAAATAAATTAAATATTAATAACGCCCTTGGCCTTTTTTTAAATAAAATAATATTAAATATTAATATACTTACTTTAGGTATAAAATTAAGGGTTACTAGCTAGTGCTATAATATTTTTATTATTTTTATAAATTATAGTAATTATAAAATCTACCTTTTAAGTATTTATAAACTTTTTTAATAGGTAGTAAAGCTAAATAGCCTTTTTAATAGCTTATATTTTTTTTATATATTTAGCTTTATAAAAAAAATAAAGCTATAATAGGCTAATACTTAAAAAACTAGCTAATAATTATAAAACTTATATAAAATATATATTTAAAGGTAAAATAGCGCGTTTTTAGGTTATTATTTTAATTAATATTAATATAACTAGTTAATAATTATAAATTCCTAAAAAATACTAATTTATAATTTATAAAGCCTTAAAAATAATAAAACACGTGCTTAATAATTACCACATGCTTTTTTATAAGTTTAATAAAGAAATAACTTAAAATAAATATAGGGTAGGTAATATTAGCTTAAGTACCTAGTATAAGGTATATTAAAAACTTAATAATACTTTAATACTACTTTAAAATATTTATTAAAGCTATATACTTTTTAAAAACAGGCTTTAGCTTTAAGCAGGGATTTATTAGCATGTTATAAATTTTAAAGTTATTTATATTAAATTAATAAAAAATCTTATTTATATAGCTAAGCTAAAAAAGCTAAAGTATTTAATTAACTTAATTTTAATAAATTTTTATACTAAGATAGTAATAGCAAGGGCTAAAATTAAATATTTTAAAATACTTATTTAGGGTATTTTTAATTTTTTAAATTTAGGTTTTATTTTTATTAACTAGCAAGAAATTATTTATATATATAATAATAAAAATCTTATTATTAATAAAAACTTTTAAGTTTAAATAAATAAAATAAAAGCCTAATATAATTAAAAAGTTTATAAATAATTAGTACTAGATTTATAATGCCTGCTTTAAGTTATAAAAAGCTTTTTAAAGTTAGTAAACATGTTTAAAGCTATTAATAAAAAAGTAAGGTTATTTTATAAAAATTATAATATTAATATTTTTATATAAAAATATTATTTTTATATTTATTTATTTAATTTTAAGGTCTAGCGTGGTAATAATAATAAAAAAAAAGCTTATAGCTTAATAGCTTTATTACCTTAGTAAAAATTTTATAATAATTAAGTTTATAAATTTACTTAAAGCTATAAACTATTTAATAAGCTTTATAATAAAAAATCTAGCCTTTTAGTTTTTTTTAACTTTTAAAACTTATTTATTAAAAAGTAAGTATTTTTTAGCTAGCAAGTTAATAAAATCCTAAGTTTTATTTTTTATTAAAAATTTATATTTATTTTATATATTTTTAAATTACTTATTTTATTTACCTTTAGCTTTAGCCTACTAAACTATTAATTTATTTTTTTTAAAAATTTATTTATAAAATATTATAGCTAGTATTAAAATATTATTTAAGCTAGGCTTACTAGCTAGTACTTAAAAATTATTTAAATAAAGTTTATTAATTAAGGTAATTTTATTTTATATAACTTTAATAATATTTTAAAAATAAAATAAATAAGCTAGCTTATTTAAAATTTAAAAAGTTTTTTTAAAATTAATAATAGCTTAAGCACGCGTGTAGTATACTAGGCTAGTATTATAAAAGCTAAAATTTAAATTTTTTAAAAATATATTAACTTTAATAACTAAATTAATAGCCTTTACTACTAGATTTTTAGGGTTTATATACCTAAAAATGTCTTTAAAAGCTGGGCTTTTTAAAAATTTATTTTTAAGGTTTTTTTTAATATTTAGGTTAGTATTAACTAGTAAGCTCTTAAAAATAAAGATTTTTAAAAATACTAAAGCTTTTAGTACCTTAAAAATAAAAAATTTTAAAGGGTTTAAAGCTTTAGGTAATACCTTAAAAATAAATATTTTTAAAAAAAATAAAGTTTTAAAAATAAAAATCCCTAAAGGCGCTAAAATAGTTACTTTTAGTAAAAAATTTAGCCTAATATAATAATCCTTAATATTATTAATATTATATATTAAGACCACGTGGCTATTATTTAAAAAAACCTAGTATAGCTTATTTATTTTTTTATTAAAGCTAATTAATTTTTTAGTTCTTGTTCTACTATCCTCACAAAGTTTTTTTTACTTTTTTAATGGGTTTAAAATATAGACCTTAAACTAAAAAATATAAATATAAAAGATATTTAGTTAGTAGCTATACTAAGCCTTAAATAATATAATATTATTTAATATAAAATATAAAGTATAGTTATATAAATAACTAGTATTTTTATAAAACTTAAATTATATATTAGCTAGGGCTTTAATATTATGTAGTATAAATTATATAAGGCCTAGTAGCTTATTAATAAGTACTTTAATATAATTATTTTATTTATATTAATTTATATTAAAGGTTTTTATAATAACTTTAAAGCTATAAATAAGGTGTTATAAATTATAAATATTTTTTTAATTATAGTATACACGGCGCAGCAAGAGTTTAGGTATATTATATTAATAAATAATAAAAAAAGCTTAAATAGTAAATTTATTCTTGCTAGCTAGTATTATAACCTAGTAATAATAAAATTTATTATTTATAATAAAGCTAATATAT